AACCACAAAAGACCCCAAATAGCCAAAGCAATCTTGAGAAAGAACAAAGTTGGAGATATTACACTTCCTGATTTCAAACTACACTATAAGGCTATAGTAATCAAAATAGTATGGTAGTAGCACAAAAACAGACACATCCTATATAACAAAAGCGTAATATGCGAATTGACCAAATGGCCGAACAGCGGAGCAACCATCCAGACGACCATCCGGGACCACACTATGACACCCACTGGCGCCAGGCCAGCCAAGGCGGGTGCGATGCAATTGGTCGGAGGGCCGGCCATCGTCCCATGATTGCCCCACAGAAGGAGGCCCAGGCCACTGACTGGCGGGCTGTGGCAGGTGGGCAGGGCCTCCCTCTGCGAGGGAAGCCCGGGTCCTGGGTGCTGGAGGGAAGCCAGTGCCAGCAGCCGGGGGAAGGAAGGCCTACTCTTGAACAAATTTCATGCATTGGGCCTCTAGTAGATAAATAAAACAGAATACAGAGACCAAAAATAAACCCATACTTATATGGTCAATTAATCTATGACGGAGGAGGCAAACATATACAATGGGAAAAAAGATAATCACTTCAATAAATGGTGATTCAAAAACAGATACATGCAAAAAGAGAAGAAAGAAACTCTTCCACTTTCTTATACCATATACAAAAATAAGCTCAGATGGGCTAACGACTTAAATGTAAGACCTGAAAATATAAAACTCCTAGAAGAAAACATAGGCAATAAACTCTTTGACAAAGGCCTTAGCAATATTTTTTGGATATGTCTCTTCAGGCAAGAGCAATAAAGCAAAAATAAACAAATAGGACTACATCAAGCTAAAAAAGCTTTTTCACAGTGAAGGAAACCATCAACAAAATGAAACCTTCCGAATTAGAGATATTTACAAATGATATATCTGATAAGGGGTTAATATCCAAAATATATAAAGACTCATACAACTCAACATCAAAAAAATAAACAATCCAATTTAAAAACAGGCAGAAGACCTAATAGACATTTCTCCAAGAAAGACCTAATAGACATTTCTCCAAGAAAGACATACAGATAGCTAATAGACATATAAAAAATTGTTCAGCATCACTAACATCAGGGAGGTATCAAAACCATACTGAAATATCACTTCACAACTCCTGTCAAAATATCTATTATAAAAAAGACAACAAGTAACAAGTGTTGGTGAGGATGTGGAGAAAAGGGAACCCTCATACACTGTTGGTGGAATTGTAAATTGGTGTAGGCACTATAAAAAACAGAATTAAGATTCCTCAAAATATTAAAATTGAACTACCATTAGAAACCAGCAATTCCACTCCTGCACATTTACCTGAAGAAATTAAAAACACTAATTTGAAATGATATGTCTTTTCAGGCAACATATGTCTTATGTTCACTACAGCGTTATTCACAATAGCCAAAATAATTGTAAATTGGTGTAGGCACTATAAAAAACAGAATTAAGATTCCTCAAAATATTAAAATTGAACTACCATTAGAAACCAGCAATTCCACTTCTGCACATTTACCTCAAGAAATTAAAAACACTAATTTGAATATATATATATATATCCTTATGTTCACTACAGCGTTATTCACAATAGCCAAAATAATGCAAGTAACCTAGGTATCCACTGACTGATGAATGGATAAAGAAAATGTGGTATATACAGGGTGTTCTCAAAAACTGCATACATACTTTTTCTCTGATAGCTCACTTGATGTTTCTTTCTTTTTAGATTTAACCCATTAGTATTAAAAATTATTCAAAGTGTGCATACATTTTATTGGGACATCACACACACACATACACACACACACACACCCACAAGAATATTATTATTCAGCCATAAAAAGAATGAAATCTCGCCATTTATGAAAACATGAATGGACCTAGAGTGTATTAGCTGAGTGAAATAAGTCAGACAGGGAAAGACAAATACCACATGATTTCACTTACATGTGGAATCTGAAGGTCAAAACATCGATGAAGCAAAACAAAACAGAAACAGACTCAGCGATGCAGAAAAAACTGATAAATATCAGAGGGGAGAGGAGTGGAAAGATGAACAAAAAGGTAAAGAGGATTAGGAAGTACAAATTTCCAGTTATAAAATAAGTAAGTCACAGGATGTAACGTATAGCATAGGGAATACAGTCAATAATATTATAACTTTGCATGGTGACGGAAAGTTACTAGCACTGACATGGCAATCACTTCACATGGCATATAGATGTTGAATTGCTATGCTGTACACTTGAAATTAATATAATACTGTATGTCAACTACAATTTTTAAAAAAAACAAAAGCAAAATAACTACTGTAAGGTTATACTTGTTAGCTAAAAAATATATAAGAAAAACTATTGGAAGAATGGGGCTATTCAGCAAATAAGCACAAAAACTGTATCAAAACTAATGTACCAGAGGATGGATCAGTTTCTAATTTAATAGCAAGTCTACTTAGGAAAAAGTGATATATATGATTGATTTTATTTCTATTTTTTAAAAAGCTTCAGTTGAAAATTTATCAGCTGTATCCGTAATTAAACACTACTAGTTTTTCCACCTCATTTCCCCAATCATATTTGTTAAAATAAATGCAATGAAAACTCCATCTCTAATGGTTTATAGTTTCTCTATATCCAACTCAATGTTTTTTATATTAGGTTTCCTTCTCCCAACAACCAGCTCAACTTCAGATAACCGTGGGCGGTTAGATACTAATAGCCAGCAAGATAAGAACTCTGCAAACTCTTGCTGTGCATGTTCTTCATGAGATAACTGGTTGGTGATGACTCTTTGTAGGTGAAGAACTTGGTCAGTTGATAAGTTAGGGCCAGCACTGATACGCCTACCACACAAAATAGTAACTTAAATTGCTGTGGATAGTTATCAATTTTTGTTCAATATATGCATTGCAGATAGATAAACTTGATCTTCCCAACCTTCTTTCTACATAACAAAAAGTACATATCATCTAAAGAGAAATGAAAATACATTTTTTTAAAAGATCACTTACCTCATCACTTTCAGGCTGTGAGAATACAATCGGCTGGCCTGTATCTGAAGCTTCCCTTATATTAAGATGTAAAGGAATATCTCCTAAAAGAGCCACCAGATATCCATTAGTACTACAAAAGTTTATATTGCATTTGGAATTTCACTATGTGAACTTCAGAAACAACATTTAAACTAAATTGATTCAAATCAACTTGAATTATGATTATCCTAAAAATTGCTAAATCTCTGATCAAGGAATTTCAAATGAAAATTAGGAGAAAATATTCTACTTCAGAGTAGTACAGTGATATATCTATCTACTTATATAAAAACCCTGGGTGGTGTTCATCACATCCAGAAGAACGGCCGCGACCAACCGGAAGGAAGTCAGTCCTACAGGGGTTGTCACTTCAGGGTAGTACAGTGATATATCTATATATACAAAAGCCTAAGGGACTGGTTGACCGATTGGTTGTCTGGTAGCTATGACATGCACTGTTCACCAGGGGGCAGACGCTCAATGCAGGAGCTGCCTCCAGGCAAGGGCGGGATTTGAGGCAGGAACCCACCCTCAGAGCATGGAGGCAAATCTTTCTAAAGTGTGCCGCGCCAGCACGGCCAGGGGTGAACATGAGTGGGGGTGGCTGAAAGGCTTAGAAAAGACAGACAAGAGAATGAAAGCCAGGTCTCCGTGGGAGGCTGCTTCTCTGAGAAGTGCTCTCCACAGCAAGAGCGCTGCTCAGCTGATCAACAGGTGCCAGACACTGGGCTCATGGTTGGCAAGCACCGCTGTGGTGGTGCGAGCCTCTCTCGTGGAGACTCCCCATGTGCACCCCTCTCCCATCCAGACCGGGACCAGCATCGGAACTGACTGGGTGTGAGCCCGCGGCTGCTTCACGGTCATGGGTGCGCCAGTATTGCCCTAGGACGGGCGCGGAGACTGCAGCAGAGCAGCAGCGAGCCTACCGAGCGTTGGCGGCAGTCGGTACAGTGGGGCCGGGATGAGCAGGAGCGGTGCAGTGTGGCACCTGGCCCAGGCTCAGGCTCCCCCCTGGCTGCCTGCTGCTTTGGCACGACTACATCCCTCAGGGGATGTAGGACTGTTGGTTTTATGATTATCCTAAAAATTGCTAAATCTCTGATCAAGGAATTTCAAATGAAAATTAGGAGAAAATATTCCACTTCAGGGTAGTACAGTGATATATCTATATATACAAAAGCCTAAGGGACTGGTTGACCGATTGGTTGTCTGGTAGCTATGACATGCACTGTTCACCAGGGGGCAGACGCTCAATGCAGGAGCTGCCTCCTGGTGGTCAGTGCACTCCCGCAGCGAGAGCGCTGCTCAGCTGATCAACAGGTGCCAGACACTGAGCTCATGGTTGGCGAGCACCGCTGCAGTGGCGCAAGCCTCTCCCGTGGAGACTCCCCATGTGCACCCCTCCCCCATCCAGACCGGTACCAGCATCGGGACTGACTGGGTGTGAGCCCGCGGCTGCTTCTCGGTCATGGGTGCGCCAGTATTGCCCTAGGACGGGTGCAGAGACTGCAGCAGAGCAGCAGCGAGCCTACCGAGCGTTGGCGGCAGTCGGTACAGTGGGGCCGGGATGAGCAGGAGCGGTGCAGTGTGGCACCTGGCCCAGGCTCAGGCTCCCCCCTGGCTGCCTGCTGCTTTGGCACGACTACATCCCTCAGGGGATGTAGGACTGTTGGTTTTGGTCGATCCCCGCAGGCCAGGCCGAGGGACCCCCTACCAGTGCACAAATCCATGCACCGGGCCTCTAGTATATTATATGAAAACTATGTGGCCACTCCTCATGGGGCCATGGTTTATTCTTTGCGGGAGATCTTCCTACAAATGGTTTGGAAGACATTTGTAAATTATTTTTACCTGTAATACCTGGTATAGACACAACATACCACATAATAAGAGGAAACTGAAAAGGAAAAGATGGGGAAGGCAAAGTAATCACAAAGTAATCCAAAAAATAAAAAAATAAAAGTACAATATAATCTTCCTGATGCTAGCAGACAAGTAAGCTAAGAGAACTATTGAAAAGTCGGCCAGACTTGTTATCTCAACTCCCTGTCTCTTATCAGATAGGATTACTTTTATTATATACTAGAGGCCTGGTGCACGAAGTCATGCACGGGTGGGGTCCCTCGAGGCTTATTAGGGTGCTGGCCAGCCTGGGGTAGGGACCCCAGGAGGTTACCTGGTCAGCCAGGGGCAGGGGCCGCGGGAGATTGGCCGGCCATGGGAGGTTGGCTGTGGGAGCACACTGACCACGAGGGGGCAGCTTCTGCATTGAATGCCTGCCCCCTGGTGGTCAGTGCACATCACAGCAACTGGTCGACCGGTTGTTCCGGTCGTTCGGTCATAACGGTCACTTAGGCTTTTATATATAGGTTAATCTTTTAGCATTAAAACTTGTGAGCTTCATGAGACCTCAGGACATATACAATGAGAATCTCCAATATGCAGACTTGAGGTCTGGAAGGATGTGTCTTGGCTGATGATATATTACCATTAGGTAGTGTAATAGGGGAAATGCTGGGATTCACCATCCAGCTGACTCTCTCCACCACACCATCACAAATGATGGCTTCCCAAATGCTGACATTTAAAAGGCAGCAAATGGAGCCTTAAGTAGAAGAGCTGACTCGTCATGGTACTCAGCATTCATAGAACCACTCCAAATCCATGGGAAGGTCACTGAAATGTGTGTATACACGTGTTTTATATAAATAAGTCATTCAGCACCATGCCAGGCAATGTAAATAATGCAGATTATATGTTACAACATTACAAACCTACTACAATTTATATTATGAAGTACGCTCCTCCTGTCAGCACATTTTGAAATCTTAACCCACTCTTTAAGTCTTTCCTAAATGTTCAATAGACAAATGACAAAAAGATATGAATATTTAGGTAACCATTTAAAGATTACCTTTTTAGTAAATTTGTGTCTATTCTACAGATCAACTAAGACTATAGGAAGTTGTCACAGGAACAGGCAGGGGAATATATGTTATAGAAAATACTTCGAAACTCATAAAGGTTTTTGCTTTTGACTTATGAACATGCTATTATAGTACTGGGAAAAATAAAAGTAAAACCTTCTCCTTTATACCTCCCATTGACATGATTTTTGCCTTCCAGAGATTCACAATCCTCCCATAGATACAGAAACGTAGATCAAAAAAGAGTAAAATCTTGTTAGAAAATAGGCGGCATAGTGAGAGTGGCAAGGGGCCACAGTTGTATACAGAGAAGGATAAAAAGGAGTAAAGGTATGGAGAATGGCTAGGTCCGAAGGAAAGGAGGGCATATTTCAGAGACATAAGCTAAAGGGGTTTCTGTCAGATAACGTGAGACCTTACCTACCATGCATAAACTGTCCCTGTAGATAAATATGGATAAAGTTCTGAAAAGCCATTTTGCCAAATTCAAAACACAGCGCAATGGATGAAATAAACTGAGGCAGCCAGAGAGTCAGTAAGAGACCAATGAGGGTGCCTGGGGGCTTCAACCAGTCAGAGGCCATAGCTATGAGAGCTCTTTGTTTTATTTCAGTTTCTAATTTCCAATTCCAACCTCTCCATTATTGGAGCCCCTGCTCAAGTTCACGGGCACTATGTCTGGGCCCCCAGGACTGCATTAAAAGGAGGAGATGGCCCTGAATTGGAGCTCTAAATCATTTTCCCATACACTGTTAGAGACAGCAGTCTCTGGCATTATCTAGTTTTGAGATCAGTAATCAGTGTTGCTGATACTTTTTTAGTGTAACTATACATTTCTGAGCTGTTGGTTAAAAAATAACTTCCATATGTGAGATTGTTTCTCTAGGAGATATGTTTCAAAGTCTAAATCACTGACTTACAAAATGGTACCACCCATTTATAAATTAGGGAATTATAATATTGTCAACATAATTCAATAATGCCATTATAATTACACATTTACTTTATTATATAAATGAATGTCAATCTGTTATGTTATTATGCAGATTTAAGAAACTGAACTTTTTAGGTTAAATGAAAAACAGTTGCAGAATATAATTAGTGACTATATTTATAAGAATGTATCAAAATATATCATTAGTATTCACCTGGTATTGTGGTGGTTGCTATGGGACAAATGCATAATAACAATAATACATTTAACATCAACTTTTAGAAATGTAATTATGATAGAGTATGTTTTGAAATTCCTTGATCTCTAAAGGGATCTTAATTGTAAACTATAACTAATAACTCACTTTATGACTCCCTTACTCAGCATCTAACATCTTCCTTCCCAGAACAGAAACTCATTCAATAAGCAGAATATCAAAACATGTGTCCTATAAAGTTCATTAGGCTGCTTGTGGACCTTTTAAAAGTCATGTTTTATCAAAAATCTGTGTTTTATTCCATTAACACATGATTTCACTTCTCATAACACTAATTAATCCTTCAATTCAATAATATGAACAGTATATGCAATGTAAATTTCAAATGCCATCTCTTATACACATGGCAAACACATATAAGAAGATTCCAGAAAACAGAAAATATTGTCTTTCTAGAGCAGAAGAACTGATAAATTCAGAACTGATCAGGAAGGCATTTTTTCATATGCACCAAGAAGTGACACTCCCTAAGCTTGCTGCAACATAATGAACAGGTATTTTCATACTAGTATATACCGGTAAACTGAGAGATGTGTTCCCAGTGCAACAAACTAGTGACCATTAAAATGTGGGCTTCAATCCACAGTCAGATCACAAAACTCTCTTCTCAAATTCAAGTTATAAGCAGTTTTTATCAATAGCAGAAAGCATCAAAATTGGCAGCACAAACTTCCTTTTAAAAAGCCTTCCACAAATGAAGTATTATAAAAAACCAAAGAAAGCTTAGCACATAGAACTGCGCTAAACTAATTTAATTTAAAACACAAAGCCAAAAGCAATTTATCACTTTCTGAGACACTTTTCATCACCATACCCAATCTCTATTTTCCCTTCTACCATTTCCTCTGCAAAAGCATATTCCATGCCCAGCCAGCATGGCTCAGTGGTTGAGCATCGACCTATGAACCAGGAGGTCATGGTTCCATTCCGTCAGGGCACATGCCCAAGTTGTGAGCTTGACCCCCAGTGTGGGGTGTGCAGGAGGCAGCCTATCAATGATTCTCTCTCATAGGTGATGTTTCTATTCTCTCTCCCCCTCCTTTCCTCTCTGAGATCAAGAAAAATATATTTTAAGAAAAGAAAATTCTATGGTCTTACCTAGAATATCAAGATCAAGGATCTGTGCTAGTTTCCTTGCACCATCAGCACCAAAAATATGAGTCTTGTGTTTACATTTTGGACACTGGAAAACACTCATATTTTGAACAAGGCCCAGAACCTAGAATAATAAGAATACATTGAAATCAAAACAAAATTAAACCAAATCTCAATTCATTATTTCAATATTTTTACTGCATGACTACTGGTTTTAGTGATACAATGATGAATAAGTTAAGGTCTCTCCTCTCAAGGAACTCACAAACTAGTGGGAGAGTAAAACACTTTAATTACATTTTAATAATGTGATACATGCTAAAGAGATATAAATGACAGGGATCAAAGATTTATACCTGGGAAGAATAAGAGGATCTCGGAGTTGCCCATAGAGGACTGTGTGTTCTGGGTGAGGGTGAGAATGGAGTTAAGGCTGTAGCAGGAATTCTAGGCAGAAGGAAGAGCACAAGCCCGTGGAATATAATGTGTGCAGCCTACGTGGGCTGCAACCTAGGGGGGGTGAAGGCAGAAGCTACTCTGGTAGGAAAGGTCAGGTTCAGATGGTAAGGTGTTAAATGCCTTCCATGTATTTGAGGCTTTCTTCTTGAGACAACAGAAAACCACAAATGTTTTTTAAAGTTGAGAAGACAGTATTGAAGAGGTAATGTTATGCAATCGGATCCGTGTTTCTGATGGCAATATGGAAAAAACAAGCAGAAGAAACACAGGAGAATAAGTAGTTAAGAGGCTAACTGTGGACAAAGTCTCATGGTAAATAAAAATCAACATTTAAGTGTTTGAAATGCACTATCTTATTTACTCCTCAGAAGAACTTTATGAGATGGGTACCTTATCATCCACATTCAATAGGCGATAAAATTGAAAAGAGTGAAACTCAGCTTATTAGAATATTATCATTTGAAACAAAAATGTAAAGCCTTCTTCAGTAGGCGATAAAATTGGCACAGCTAGCAAAAGAGTGAAACCCAGCTTGTTAGAATATTATCATTTGAAACAAAAATGTAAAGCCTTAAAGAAAGTGTTCATCTCTTTCTTAGTTTCCCCAGCTTCTGGCACAAAATAGGTAACTAATAAACATTTCTTAAACAGAGAGGCCCTGCAAATATAATCCTTACTCATGTTCCTTTACTTCCCATCAGTTCTTATTAATGAGAAGCAAAGGTTCTCTTCTAGAATAAAATGGGGAACACAACTATGAGAGGCTTACAGATAACCATGTCTGTTTCATCCTATCTATTCCACCCATAAGATTATCATTATAGGAGATATCTCTATTAGAACATTTGCATTTTAAATGATGAACAGAACCTATAGTCCACAATGAAACATATAGACAAGAAAGTGATCAAATTTGTTATTCTTTCTGAAAAGAGAAACAGAAAAGACTAAAGTTTCCCACAACACATGTAAATGAAGACAAACAGTGAGGGACATAAAGATGTGGGTAAGCATTTTCCAAGCATCTAACAGATGTCCTTTTGCTAATGCAAAGTATCACGAAAATAAATCACAACATGTTTTGGTAATTCAGTATCATCTCCAGAAGCTAAAAACAAAACAAAACAAAACAAAAACACACACCTTACTATCACACAACTTATTTATTTATTCAGTATGTCTATATAATACACTCATTGCCATTTATGTTAAATGTGATATATCCCCTCTGACTGTAGGGCTTCTAAGTTAAACATGAAAATATCACTCAAAAAACAGGAGGAGAAAAATCACTTAAATAATGTGAAGATCTAGGTGAGGGTTACTCTAATCCAGAGAGAATGGGAAAAGCATCCCTACTCTGGATTCTCTCAGATGTCCCAAGACACAGAGGCCTGGAGCAACAGTGTATTTGCAGTTCGTGTGATTAACTTCTTAGTATCAAATTGTTCTCTAAGGACCAGAGAACACATTCTCCTCAAGACCACATAAATGTCACAAACATAAAACTATAACCAAACTTAATATTTAATGAGTTCCTATTACACGCCAGTAACTGGGATAAACAGAAGCAGCAGCATACAGTGGTGAGCAAAACAGACTTGATCTTTGCTCCCTTGAAGCTTGCACACTAATTGGAGAAACAGATTGAATAAATAATAGCGCAAAAATGGACTTTAAAAACTAGAACAGACCTGGTTGGGTGGCTCAGTTGGTTAGAGCATCGTCCCATGCAACAAATAGGGTGAGGGTTTGATTCCCAGTCAGGCACATACCTAGGTTGCAGGGATGCATATGGGAGGTAACCAATATATGCTTCTCTCTCACAATGAGGTTTCTCTCCCCCTTACTCTTTCTAAAAACAAAACAAAACAAAAATGAGCACCACATATCCTCGGGTGAAGAAAAAACAACAACACATGCTCTCACACAAAACTCTGGAACAGCTTGTCTGGAAACAAAGCAACAGAGTATTATGAGAGCATAGAAAAGAGAAGACTCTATCTACCCCGGGAGTCACGGGGGACTTCCTAGAGGAAATATTTGACCTAAAAGCCAAAGAATTAGAAGGTAAAAGCAAGGAGAAAGGTAGGAAAGCACTCAGGGCAGAAGTAGAGAGCGCATGTCTCCTTCAGGGAACTGAAAGGTCAGTAGGGGTGAGGTGTGGCGTGAGTGGCACGAGAGGAGGCTTGAAAGGCAGGGACTGTAGACCACATCGTGTCTGGGTTGCATGAGTGCACAGTGAAGCTGTTAAGGAGTTTTTAGCAAGAGGAACCACAATCCTGTAGTTGTAATAGACTCATTTCTCAGGACTGCAGCGTTTTAAAAACAACATGGAGTGGAAAAATTAAAAGGACTTGTCTTTGTGTGTTTATTTTCTTAGACGAACACTAAACCAGGGCCATATTCTCTGAAATCAGTCGTTTCAGATGTGATAGTTTTTGCCTAAAATACTCGTTTCCTCCGGGCACAAGGTAAGGATTTTTCTTCTTTGCAATTAGGTGAGGAGATGTCCTTGTTTGGATAATGAGATGTGTTTTAAAAACAACATGGAGTGGAAAAACTAAAAGGACTTGTCTTTGTGTGTTTATTTTCTTAGACAAACACTAAACCAGGGCCATATTCTCTGAAATCAGTCGTTTCAGATGTGATAGTTTTTGGTGATGCCTAAAATACTCGTTTCCTCCGGGCACAGGGTAAGGATTTTTCTTCTTTGCAATTAGGTGAGGAGATGTCATTGTTTGGATAATGAAATGTGAGAAGTGACATGTGCCACATCAGGCAGAGGCTGCAAGTGCTCACTCCCCATTACGTTCCCTCTGCTCCTGTGACCAGCAAGCTTCCAAAAGTGGCTGTCCCATCAGTACAGCGTAAGAGCAGTGCCCAGGGGTGCTGAAGCCAAACCATGACAGACATAACACGAGAGAAATAAACTGGTGCTGTTTTCACCCACCGAAATTTGAGGATTATTTGCACACATAACCCAGCCCACAGCAACCAAAAACAAAGCAAACAAACAAAAAATAACAAATGTTGGTGAGGACAGGAACAACTACACTCACAGTTACAGTTGAGTGTAAACCGGTACAACCATTTTGGAAAATCCTTTGGTAGTTATCTATTTAAACTTATATATGTTTACACTCTGGCACAGTAATTCCGCACTCAGTTATATACTAACAGAAATGTGAACATAATATTCAACAAAATTTATGACCAAATGTGTTCATAACGGCACTAATTATCCCAAAATGTCCATCAACAGTAACATAGACAAATAAAGTGTGGTATATTTACATGATGAAATCCTACATAGCAATGAGAATTAAAGAACTATAGCTATAATCAAGAGTATGAGTGGATCTCTCAAATATAATTTTAAGCAAAACAAGTCACACAAAAGTATATACTTATAATTCCATTTATATGAAGTTCACAAACAGACAAAACTAATCCTGGGTGTTATAGTTTGGGTTCTACTTTGGGGGCAGCGACTGAGAAGTGGCACACAGCAGAAGCTTCTGGGGACTAGTAATGCTCTGTTTCTTGAAAACAAACAGTAGATGTGCTCACTTTGTAAAAATTCATCAAACTATAGATTTACAATTTGTGCCCTTTTGTATATATCATACTTGAATCAACTGTTTGCTTTTTAAAAAAGTGTTGGTCATGTAAAGAATGGTCAATAAAGCAATAAGAACAAATAACCAAAATGATGGTTTATTGAGCATTTTCTAAACCTGTACACAAAAACAACCATCTTTTTTAAGTAGAAAAGATTCTATAAAAACAGAGAAGGAGCAGTAAAATTAACATGAGGTCTTTGGGAGAAACAATTCCCATTTCTTCCCACCTACACTCCAAGGGAAGACCTGAAAATAAAAGTTTAACTCCAGAGAAGCTCTGAAATGAAATAGTGGGTCCTAGACCTGCAATATTTAGTAAGGTAGCCACTCATCACACACGGCTACTGAGCACCTGAAAGGTGGCTGGTCTGGATTGAGATGTGTAAAATCCACACTGGATATCAAAGACTTAGTGAGAGTAAAAGGATGTAAAATATCCCTATATATTTTTTTAAGTTTACAAATTATTCTTTAAGCTTTTCAACTGAAGTGTATCATGAATACATACACAAAAGTACACAAATCATAGGTGTACGACTAAATGGACTTATAAAGTATACCCATGGTACCATAACTCTGTAAAGAAATAAAACATTGCCAACATCCTAGAAATCTCCTTGTATACTCTCCAAGACATATTCCTAAAAGTATAAACTAGCTAGCCTGATTTCTAACACCATAAATTAATTTTGTCTGGTTTTGAACTTGATATGAATGTAATAATACTATCCTATATAATAAAAGGGTAATATACAAATTGACACTAATGGCAGAATGGCCAGAACGACTGCTGGACCAGTCACTATGAGGCACACTGACCACTTCTTGGTCCCTTTCCCTGGCCAGCAGGCTCCCATCACCTGATGGTCACCTGTGGCAGGGGTGGGGCCAGCAAGCGAGCGGGAACATTTGACCTCTTGGTCCCTTCCCCTGGCCGTCAGGCACTGACCACTAGATGGCGAACCCGGGAACCAGGAGTGGGTGGCGGTGGGGGGGTGGGGCCGGCTGCAGGCAGCTGGGGAAGATGGCCCTGATTGCA